CAGCGAATCCAAAAATGCAATAATATACAGGACATTCCATTAAAAAAAACGCAACTTTGATACCTTTAGAGCTTTTGGGACACCCTGTACATTACCAAAACATTTTAAAATGTGCGCTCGGTAGGCGTCGGACAATTCATAAAATAATACTTTTTAAAAATCAAACGGTTTAGCCGCAAACTTCCGTGCCGTGTATATGTTTAACTCTTTTTTATTGCATTGTTTAACACACTGGATTATTCACATATGCAGCTACAGATGTATATTTTTAATTAGATTTTTGTTTATTTTCATTCCCTGCTTCAACTTTATTTTATTTCATCCAAAACCGACATGATCCAATAATTAGACGATCCTAATTAACTTCCCATTAATAAACTAACTGAAAAATGAGAACCAAGGAATCTGGAACAAAGAACTAGAAGAACAAAAACAGACAGTTAAAGAAAAATTTAATAAAGATTAATTACACAGCGCTTAGGCAGTTGATCAGTAAGTAACATAAGGTTTGGACCCATAGCTCTCATAAGCCTGTTTCCAGAGCGGATACGAGGCTTTAGGGGTGGTTTTCACCTGCAAGTCGTAATCGATGTCCAAATACTGGTAGTTATTGGCATTAACAGTCGGCCAGACAACGTTCTGCAAAAGGCTTGATTGGTCGGGAGTTGGGTTTCTGCAAAACCCCAGAAAACATGAGTGAACCCAAAATAAGTGGTTCTACAGGTCCTTACAGGTACTTTGCAAAGTTGCCCCACATGGTTACCAGTCTCTTACTAGTCACTTGATCGGATTCAGGGTACTTGGTGAGGTCCTCGTTACCACTGGTACTTCTGTGGACCCAGATGTAGTAGATGTCTTCACCATGCATCACTTTTTCGGCACCTAAACAAACGTGTGAGTCACACAGCAATCCAGCTTGGAGTTTTCAGGTTTACCATCCACGCTCTTGTTCCACCCCCCTAATTCTCCATCGTAGGAGAAAATGTAGAAGTAAACGTTGGCATATTGGGACATTAGTTCTCCCTGTTTGATTACACCCCTGGTAAATCCGCTGTCGCTGCCAAACTGGAAGAAAGGCAGCGTTTTTGAACAAATTTGTCCTCATGTGCAGGAGTTTTATTTATTTAGTGAGGAATTGACTTACTCTGACAACACCGTCCTCTCTGCTAGCAAACAAATCGTTCTCCCCAATGTAAATGGTTTTGATTTCACTGGCCAAAGCGTCTTTTCTGTTTTCATCAGTTACCAAATTGCCAGGAATGAGTGAATGGGGGTTGGAGTCGTAACCTTCTCCTAATTGCCGTACGTAAGCATGAGCTGCAGGGGAAAAAGGAGTGAGAAATTGACACTTTTTTGCCTGCAATCACCGCATGGTTCAATAGTGGCTTCTCAAGATCACCGATTTCCCCGAATCATTCAAAAGAAAAATTCGCAGTTAATTAAACAAATCTGGAGCGGGTTTTTCTCCAAAATTTTAGCCATAAGAGGAGAATACCATTCACACTTCAAAGTTTCTATAAGTACGCAATAAACTCTTACTGCTACATCAAAAGCGCCAAAACCTGCTTCCTCTATGTAAAATTCAACAGCATCCGAATCAATTGCGCTTTCAACCCCTTAAACTCCATTATCAACACTTACACTTCAGAATCAAAACATCCTCCTCTGAGTTGCAGCCAATCAGAACTGGCACTTTGTTGTAGTTTCCCTCCTCAAAGGCTTGGTACATTTTTTCGGTAATAAAAGCTCCATCATGCTCCGGCTCGACAACAGGCAAAGTGAGGGCCTGTTGCAGCAGGAGAATTAGCGATTAAGCAAACCAAACCGACAGATTTACTTACCGGAGTGGTAAGCTTGGAGGCGGCGTCAATAGCTGAAGCCTCCACATTTTGCAGGTACTGAAGCTGAGCCTGACTGTCTTCTCCCACGTTAGCGTTTCCATCAATTTGCTCGATCAAACTGGCCACGTAGGGCTTAGGATTAGCGATGAAACCCCATTCGTTCAAGGGAGACCCACTTTGCTGGATGGCCCCTCGGAAAAGCCCTGAGCGGAAAACATTTGATGCAAGTAAACTGGGACAACTCCATGGGCATTTTACCGTTGTTTTTGGTGCTCAGCAGCTGGTAGCCTACGGAAGCTGAGCCAGCGCTTTCCCCAGCGATGGTGATCTGGTTAGGGTCTCCTCCAAAGGCTGCGATGTTCTCATAAGTCCACTTGAGGGCCAGGGCTTGATCTTTAAGGCCGGCATTTCCTGGAACCACTGTGTCCCCAGTGGAGAGGAAACCAAAAGGCCCCACTCTACATTAAATCGCACACATTAAACCAAAGGATAGGAGGCGATTTCGATTGGCTTTACCGGTAGTTGTGAGTGACGACAATCATTCCTTGGGCCACCAACCAATCAGGACCGGTTGAGTAGAAGTTGGAGGAACCTCCCCTGAAGGCGCCGCCGTAAATCCAGAAGAAAACTGGCAGGTTTCCAGAGCCCTTTCAAGACAATGCAATACGTGACATGATGGCGGGACATTTTGGAGTCGAAAAGTGTTACCTTATCAGAAGGGACAAACACGTTGAGGTAGAGACAGTCTTCATTTTCACTGGAAGAGTCGGTTTTCACTTGGTAGCAGATGTTTGAGTCGGATGTTGTTTCTTTTACGCCACTCCAGTCAGCTGGTTCG